ACAAGCAATTGGGAAGAAGAAGAAAAAAACGACCAGTAACAGAAGACAGAAGAAACACAGACAAGAATATCCCTTATACCAACTTAGATCCAAATATCGTTCGTGATTGGAAATAAATGGAGCCCAAAAAGTATGTTTACTTTTTCCTGGATTGGACTTGGCTCGCTACAAGCTCGCCCCAAGAGCTTTCAAATTCCGAACTGGGGGAGACATACCTAAAAGACTATCTTTTGTATTGGCTAATGGAAGTGGCCCCTAATCGGGAATATATTAGTTCGGTGACTGTTGGTGGAGAAAGTCAATTCCAGAAGTGGTTACAACAAAATTAACTGCCGAGGATGATGGTTGGTTTCGAGTAAATTACTGCAATGTTTGTCGATTGCTAATGGTTAGAGTTTAAGATGGATTGGAGTTAAGAAATGGCTGTTTTAATGGTTTCGGAAAATATAATCGGTTGGACTGTGATGATGTTTTAAAAAAAAATAACAAATACATTTCATATAATGAAAAGGGCCGGTTTTCTTGTTCTTCTTCTCATGCCGCAGTTACCGCTTCATGTATCGAAGGACATGTGTTTTGCTTGATGGCAGAGATGCAAATATAAGCGTTGTAAAACAAACTGCGGTTTCGGGGTTATGTAAATTGTTTCTCATTGCAGTCGTGGACGATTACCAGGGTTATATTCCCGAGGTTAGAAAACGACAGTTCTTGTGTGTTTTTCAGGTAGTCTTCCAGGTGTTGCGCTAAGGAAACTAGTCTTCTTCTTCTCTTCTTCTGTTACCTCTTCGGGTAAGAAATGTCAGAGATGTGGTTTTACAGAAGAATGCTTAGAATACCTTGGATGGCCAAAAAGAGCAACCAAGCGGTTTTGAAAGAGGGGGAACCCAAAGACAACTTATCACAGACATCAGAAGGAGACAGTCATCATTTTTCGGCCATGTTATGAGAAGAGGGGAAATAGACCATGTTGTGACCACTGGAAAGATCTGTGGAAGGAGAGATAGAGGAAGACAACGAGAAAAGATGCTTGACAGTCTTGTTGCATGATATGGAGGTGTGTCGGCACACGAACTGATACATGCTGCAGGATATCGCAGATTATGGAGAGGCATGATTGCCCACGCCAGTCAGCAAGGCACCTGATGATGATGACATCTTTGGGTGTAGAGGGAGATATAAGGTTCTGCCTTTTGCAGTTCTGGCCCCTCGACCATAGACACATCAAGTTGTTGTAGTTTCTCTGTCCAGTTAGTTCTTGGTCTACCTCATGCTTTACGTTCTGTTTTTTTTTTCTTTTTGTGTATGCCGTGTACAGAATGACATCACAGGCATTCTCTTTAAGTGGGTGTCTTTGTATGTAATTTAGAATTGGCTCTATGCCGACCGAAGTTTTACCCCCAAATTCCCATAGTAAGCATAGTGATTTACTGGAAGATATAGTTTCCAGAAGACGAGGCAGAGGCAGACTTTCACGAAGATGGATACAAGACACTGAAGATGCACCAGCTATGAAAGTCCACAGAGTCAGAGAACAGGCTAGTGAAAGAGAGACGCTCGGTGTGACGAGAGTGACGTTCTGAAAAGGACCTGACGACCGGTGAGCATAAAGAATAAACTGCAGCTAACCTCAGTTGGGGAGAAGGCACAGTTTCATTACCAAAGCCACTGTACACATAATTATCTGGCCAGTAAATCTATATGTAAGTCAATCATTTCTTGAGAGTGAAGAAAGAAATGATTACAGAAAAGATGAGAGCTGAGCATCTGAAAAGAAACGGATTAAACACAAATGTTTACAACAATGGTCCTGAAATCCCATGCTATCATTGTGGAAGACTTTTCTTGACACGGGCAGGTCTTGCTAGTCACACTCGCCATCGCCATGAGCCGTGAGTCCCATGCTTCCTCATAGTGCAATATAACACTATTGTCTGGAAAGACGGAAAGGTGCCAATCAAGTCTATAACAGACAGACAGTGCGCTATCGGACTCTTGAGAGCACAGAAATATGTAAGAATACGACGAGTCCAGAGGGCACCAATTCAAGCGAGGTAAGGAAACTTCAATGTTGATGGACGGGACACATATTTAGACAAACTGATCATACTATATTTCTTTTAAAATAATTCCCTTCAGTAACTAAACAATTTTGCCAACATTCATACATACAGTTGTTGGAAACATTCGTTGATAACTCACTCTTTTAGCTGCTTTGTTATAATTACTGAATCAAAAATGAGTCAACTCTTCCGGGAACTTTGAAGCAACCACATATGCCCATAGAAGAAAAGGTAAAACAATATGTGGATAAAAATGTGTTACATTTCACGGCGAGGTGAAATCAGTGGTGAAGGATAAAGAGCTACAGACAGAGCACAATGAAGGGAATAACTTCCATTGACATGATAAAAGAAGAAGGAAAAGGCGGAGAAGAAGAAGAAGAGGAAAAAGAAGAAGAAGAAGAAAAAGAAGAAGAAGAAGAAGAAGAAGAAGAAGAAGAAGAAGAAGAAGAAGAAGAAGAAGAAGAAGAAGAAGAAGAAGAAGAAGAGCAAGAAGAAGAAGAAGAATAGGAAGAAGAAAAAGAAAGAAAAAGAAGAACAGGTTAGGTACGCTAATTTGTATGTACCCTGCAACGTAGGCAGATAAGTAGGTAGTTAAAAAGGTAACCAGAGAGGTAAGATGACATACTAGACATAGTAGACTAGTATGTGGTAAATAGATAGGCAGACTACATGTGGGTAGGTAGGTATTAGGCAAGCAGGCAGGGTAAATAGATAGGCAGATTTATAGGTATGTGGTAAGTAGACTGGTATGAAGGTATGTAGCCAGACAAACAGACTAACACACAAATGGAAAGCTCAACGATTAAGAAAGACAGTCGACAAATGTCAGACAGACGGACGCACAAAACACTAAAGGTACTGACAAACAGCATGCATGCTCGGGTATCCGGGTCACCTTGCCCGTTAAGAAAGTCACGCCCGCTGTCCCCGAGAACTAATCACGTCACTGATGGGAAATAGGCTCTGTGTGTCCAGTGTTCTTGCTCCTTCTAGCTCTTCCCTCCGTTTGTGTATGTATGTACCAAAGAGACAAGACTCCAGCGTCCTAGTCACAGGTTGCCTGCCCTTGAGCAGAGCTTTCAAAACTGTGTGTCGCGAGACATTAGTGCGTTGGCTACAACGTGAAGGTGTATCGCACAAAAGGAAATTTAAGGGAAGATGTATTTCGCCTTTAAAGAAAACATCGTTCATTAGTGAACTTTTACGATATGCTTGTTAAAGTGGGTCTATTCTTTGTTTTCCAAAATGGAGCTCTGGAACCCTCACGATAATTATTCACAAATGTGTGTCACTAAGCGGTTAATTAGACGTCAGTCTCCCCAAAAAAGAGTCGGTCACTTTTCATTCACAGGTTTGTTGGGCTGGTCGACTTTCCCGAAGGTAACGGGTGTGTCGCTCTCTGTTGTTTAATTTCTGCGATGTCTTGCATTTATGTTTTTATTCAGAGAAAGAGAATGCCCTTGATATAGGTTGCAGCACTCTATAGGGTGGGGGGGGGGGGGGGGGTGTTAGACCCAGTTTCTCCATGTTGGAGTTTTAAAAGTGCTGGCGTGCTGATGTATACAACACGCGATATCAACGGCACTGCGGAACATCCACGTGACCTTGTGCGAAGGTCATAGGGCTCAGGAACTAAAGTCGAACTAACCCACTAAGCTGAAAATTTGGAAAGCTCTGACCTAAAGGGCACTTTCTTCGCGAGGGTAATCAGAATCAAATACAAACACAGGCTCCTTGTTTGATCCGGGCCATGCTCAATGTGAGGTCACTGGAGTACAGTCGGACATTCAGATTGAAGCAACTGTGAGAGAAGGCTCTTTCCAGATAGACAGACACCTGGATTGATGGATGGATGGATGGATAAATGGGTAAATTGATGGGTGGATGGATGGTTCCATGGATGCATGGACGGATTGATGAATGGATGCATGCATGCATGAAAGGAGGAATGGATGCATGGGTGGATGGATGGATAGATGGATGCACGACACGATGAATGGAAGCATAGATGGATGGATGACTGAACTGATGGATGGATGGATAGATTTATGGATGCATTAAAGAATAGATAGATAGATGATTGAACTGGTGGATGGATTGATGGATGCATAAAAGGATGGCTGGATGGAAAGATGGATGGTTGAAGTGATGGATGGAAGGATTACTGGATGCATAAAAGGATGGATGGATAGATGGATGGATGAATGGACGGATGGTTTGATAATTCTGCAGACAGATAACATACAGTCAGACGGACACACATGCAGGTACAGAGGTAGACAGACACTCACACGGAAATATTTACGCACAGATGGGCTAAAATTTAGATGTATGAGTGGGTGAGCGGGCGTATAGACAAATAGACAGACAGGCAGGCAGTCAGGTCGACCGACTGACTGACCGACCGACCGACCGACCGACAGACAGACAGACAGACAGACAGACAGACAGACAGACAGACAGACAGACAGACAGACAGACAGACAGTCGTGCCGACCGACCGACAGAGATAGAGAGAGATGGACAGACAGACAGACAGACAGACAGACAGACAAACAGACAGACAGACAGACAGACAGACAGACAGACAGACAGACAGACAGACAGACAGACAGACAGACAGACAGACAGACAGACAGACAGACAGACAGATACTCATTAAGATATTGATGATGCAGATAACAAGAATGAAGTTCATAGTCATGACGATGGTGATGATGATGAAAATATTGATGATGACGATGATAAAGATAACGACTATGAAGGTGAAGTTAACGCTGATGGAAATAAAGATGGAGTCAACAACGTTGAACATGACGTTGAGAAGACGTAGATGCTAACGATGACGATATTGAGGATGAGATGAAAATAATGATGAAGATGATAATAATGAAGATACCGACGATGAAGAAGCCGATGACAAAGATGACAACTTACCAGCGGGTCACCATCACCGGTCCGCTTTCTAACGCTGGCCCTCTCTCGCAGCCGCTTGGCCTTCCTCTTGGCTCGGGCATTCCAGTACGTGTAGTTGACAGCGGCGTACTCCAAGAGGGCGGCAAAGACGAAGACAAAGCACATCACCAGATAGATGTCAATGGCCTTGACGTATGATATCCGCGGCAGCGATGATCTCACCCCGTTACTGATTGTGGTCATCGTTAATACTGTGGTTATACCTGGCGAAAGAGGAGAAAGATGCATGGATGGATTGATGGATGCACGACAGGATGAATGGATGCATGGATGGATGGATGGATAGATGGATGCACGACAGGATGAATCGATGCATGGATGGATGGATGGATACACGACAGGATGAATGGATGCATGGATGGATGCACGACAGGATGAATGAATGCTTGAATGGATAAATGGATAAATGGATGCACGACAGGTTGAATGAATGCATAGATGGATAGATGGATGCACGACAGGATGAATCGATGCATGGATCGATACATGGATGCACGACAGGGTGAATGGATGCATGGATGGATAGATGGATATACGACAGGATGAATGGATGGATAAATGAATCGATGGATGCACGGCAGGATGAATGGATGCATAGATGGATGGATGGTTGAATTAATGGATGGATAGATTTATGAATGCATGAAAGGATAGATGGATAGATGGTTGAACTGATGAATCGCTTGATGGATGCATAAAAGGATGGCTGGATGGAAGGGTGGATGGTTGACGGGATTGATGGATGGATTACTGGATGCATAAAAGGATGGATATATATATGGATGGATGAATGAATGGACGGATGGATGGTTTGATAATTCTGCAGCCAGACAACAGGCAGTCAGACGGACAGACATGCATGTACAGAGACAGACAGACAGTCAGACGGAAAGATTTACGCTTATATAAATCTGAGAAACATACATATATCCCTGGCCTTAATTGGCCTGCCAAGCGGCGTCCGTGGCTTAGGCGTGGCGAGTCCGACTCGTAATTCCAACGTACTGCAATCGAAACCAACTGCTGGCTGGGTGGATTTTTATAATGTTATGGGGCGTCGCAGGTCGACCCAGCCTAAAATGGGTACCAGGATGCCGGGGTGCCAGGTTCGATCCCTTGCGCATTGCGTTGGTTTCCACAGTGGTATCGAGAAGCCGACCGTCCAGGAGCAATAAAAAACTACTAGACGTAAATTTGCCTAAAAAACCCACACAGCGAAAAAATGCTGGGGTTGGTTCTACAATGCCCTGTAAAGGATACGCAACTAGCTTGACTTTAACCGGCCTAGAAAACAAATCGAGAGGCAGCAGATACAAGTTATAGGTCCGTATCCACTGGTACTAGGATATCTTTCTGCTTTTGTCCATAAGAGCCGGTGACAAAATATCCATTTGTTTACTGTATAAATATATGAGTAATAGTTATCAAATGGTCAGATTTCCGAACCAATACACAATTAAGGAAAGAATCCAGGCAAGAGTATGTGTCTAATTTTATACGGAAACGCCGCTGGAACTATGTCGGCCACGCCCTTAGAATGGATAAATCAAGACTTCCTTACCAAGCCCTCATTTGGACACCACAGGGGAAAAGATCTCGTGGAAGACCAAGGGAAACCCTACGTAGAACTATCATCAGGGAAGACTCACTCATGGGCCACTCAAACATCCAAGACCTACAACAGATTGCAACGAACCGCCATGCATGGAGAGTCATGACCTCTGCCCTATGTGCCGCACTCGACACAAGAGGAAAGACTAACTAACTAAGTTATCACTATAGTCTGGAAAGATTGAAAGATGCCAACCAGTCAACCAATACACAGATATGAACAAACAAGAGAAACCAATGAGGCCGTAGAAACAAACAGCAGACCTGGCTAATGATGACCCTCTTAGTACACTATTCCTGCAGCGAGGCTGTGTCCTCATTTGTAAGTGAAAATTTCAGTTCCCGGTCATATTAACTACAGCTTGACTAAATAAATAAATGAATGAATCAAGAATTTACATCGCTGCCCTCTGGATATCCCCCTGCGTGCTCCGTCATCGTTTTCAACGGCCAATGAAGAGTCGAAAAGGGGTTCTGAGGTAGGGGTGTTAACGGGACGATCAAAATCCTTCAGCTATGATTGTTCTTACTTTCATTTAATATAGGTACATCATTTCATTGAGGTTCCGCACGTATGTTTCGTTCCTCACAACCATTTGCTCTTCCTCTTGTTGTCGCCCCCCCCCCTCCAGTAATCCCCCCTTCCTCCCTAAGATGGTTTTGATGTCGTTAAATTCCCATTACCCATTTTAGGCAGGGTAGACATGGAGATCTCTTTATCTTCATTATCAGCATCTTTATCCCTTCAATACCCAACCCAGCCACCCGGAACTACAGGTTACCTGGTAACAGTTTTGTGGTGAACCAATACAGCTGTGCAACATGGCTATAGGGAGCCACCGTGGTGCAGAGGCTAGATTCTAGCTCGTGGATCCGAAAGTAAAGTACGGAGGCGGACATTTTTCAAAAATTACCTTGGCTCCCAGGTCGACCTAGCCCTAAATGAGCACCAGTTAAAAGTCCCGGAAAGTAAAGGCAGCAAACTTGATGTTGACCACATCATCTACGGAGTTCCATTGGGCTATAAAATATGGGTCTAGCCCTATATGCCCAAATGCCTATTAGCGTGGAAAAGGGTCCTTTACTTACTTACTTTCTATATGGCTATATAGTTGAAGGGGGTTTCGAGAAATTTCTACGTTTTATTACCCTACTTGAGATGTTAATAACACAGAGAGGAAACACTTAACAAACAGGTCATTATCCCTCCTGTAGGCATCAACGTCAGTCAGAGCCTAGTCCTCCATTCCGTTCTATCCTATGCAATCTTTTCGATATCAAGGACGGAATTCACTCCAGCACCTTTGGCCTCTCTCCTCACCGTTCGCCTTGCGGTTGCTCTCAGATTTAAATATTTCCTTAATCCATTTGTGTCATATTTTATTTCCGGTCTGGTGATTTTCTGTCTGGAAGAACCATCGTCAATCAGTAGTTATAGAAAGTCGCTCTATCGTTTAACATAATGCTGCAAGTCTCTCTTTCTTTAGCCAGTTGTCCAGTCTGAAGTGCTTTCACAGCCAATGCATCTTGAATGGTTTGTACTCACCTTCACAGAGGTCTGCCTATGCCTCGTCTTCCGGAAGCTGTCTCCCCCCCCCCCCCAACCACAGTCCCCGTCATCTCCAGGCAACCGTGACATTTAACATGTCCAAAACACCCCAACTTTCAGGACAGGGTGCTGTTAGGTAAGTAAGTACATTTTTACCCCAACAGGACATCACACAGAGCGATAAACACCCGTTGACACAAAGTGTCACCACACGGATGAGTATCCCCCGTGGAGAGGTCCCGGAAACCGCGTTTAGCCGTCAGGCTTTATGACCACACCCCGGCAACAGCCAGGGTGGGGCTTCAAACTAAAGAAAAATTACACCCCACAATAGGGTCGACGAAGATCTGTTGTTTCCGAGCCATTTCTTTTCCATGTTGAGATCATGTAGGGTGTCAATTAGGGCTGTACCGAATAGTCGCTTCGTATTCGCTTCAGGGCCCGAATAGTGAACCTAATAACTATTCGGTATTCGGCCGAATAGTTGCGGTCGGGCCGAATACGAATAGTGGTTACCTTACACCCGTTCATGGACTGGTAGAAAATAAACATCAAGATTTCCCTACTTGGTTCATACTGTCCAGCGTTATCTCTGTGCACCACCTACGAGCGTACCAAGTGAACGTCTGTTTAGTAAAGCTGGAAATGCCTTCAGTGAGACAAAAAGCTGCCTTAATGCTGACAACATGGAACGATTTTTTTGGGTGTGGAAAGCTAATGCCGCTTTCATGGATTAATTAAGCTGTCAGTGACATTTTACAAGTTTAGTTACTTGTTATAAAACTAAGAATACTTTCACTCCTATTTATTAGTTACCACAGACTGACTGACTAAAGAATGCAAAACATGAAATGTATTTAAATGTTTACTATTCTGTACTACATTTTGTGAAGTAAAATATCAGCGTACATTTGACATTATGGATGTTTTCTTTTTAGATCTATTTTCTACACGAAAGTGAAAGAATGGGCCTTAGCTTGAATAGTGGGAAGACAGAAGTAATGGTGGTATCAAAGAAAATAATTACTCGTAAATGTGTAATAAAAGTCAATGGTTTTATTTTGGGACAAGCAAGGAAATTTAAGTATCTGGGCACATGGATAACTTCAGATGGAAGATGCATTACTGAAATAAGAAACATAATAGGACAGGCACAAACTGCATTTTATAAAAAGAAGAACATCTTATGCAATATTTCTTTGTCATTGAAGGTTAGAAAAATAATTCTTGCTTGCTACATACATCCCGTTTTAACAAATGGCTGTAAGTCCTGGACAATCGGTAGGCAGGCCAACAATTTCTTGAAATCTCAGAGATGTGGTATTACATAACAATGCTTAAAATATCCTGCATAGTGAACGAACATTGAACTGGGGCGAGCGGTGCTCACTGCAATAAGACTAGTGAACGAACATCGAAATGGGGCGAGCGGTGCTTACTACAATAAGGTTGGTAAACCAGCAATGAACTGGGTCGGGCAGTGCTCACTACAAGAAGACTAGTGAATGAACATCGAACCGAGGCGAGTGGTGCTCAGAGATGTGGTATTGCAGAACAATGCTTAAAATACCTTGAAAAAAAAAAAAAAAAAACCACTAAAAAGTCTTGATAATGGAGGGAGCCCGAAGACAACTCCTCACAGACATCAGAAGGAGACAGTCATCATTTTTCGACCATGTTATAAGATGAGGGAAAATGGAACGTGACCACTGGAAAGATCTGTGGAAGGAGGGATAGAGGAAGAGAAGATTCTTGACAGTCTTGTTGCATGGCATGGAGGTGTGTCAGCACACGAACTAATACATGCTGCAGGAGATCGCAGATTGTGGCGAGGCATAATCGCCCATACCAGTCGGCAAAGCACCTGATGATGATGATTCACTATTCGTATTCGTATTCGGCCGAATAGTTGGTCCAGCTATTCGTATTCGGCCGAATAGTGAAAATCACTATTCGGTACAGCCCTAGTGTCAATGGCTTACCTCTTTATGGTCCATGGCACCCCCCCCCCCCCCCCCCAAAAAAAAAAATCTTTAAAAAAAATAATTATAGCAGCATGATTTTAATTATATAACTCTGATCACATGCGGATTCGAACCCACCATGGTATAGTTCTAGAAAAATAAACTGCAGGACAACAGATAACCCACCTAAGGCAACTCGTGCAGATGTGGCCTCGTGGTTAATCCAAAAAGAGACCCAGGAAAGCATGACAATTAAAATCGAGGGCAGGTACGTCTGAAAGATGAAGTAACCGATGTTCCTTTGCAGTTGAAAGATCAAAGACAGTCTCTGATAGTCGCCTGTAACAGCCGAAATCAATGATTAGTTAGTTGTTCGTGTATTGTAATGAAACGATAACACTCTACATCTTAGGCTTCCGTGATAATCAGGTAGATAATTGTTGAACTTTCTATAGTGACGTGTGCAATGTAAGTGATAAATGAGGATTATCATCACATCAGTCTGAACAGACTGATAACTACATATGAAATGCGTTGTCTCCGCAAGGTCACAAACACCACAAGTAGAGACAGGGTTACCAATACCAGCAACAAAGAAAATGTCAGAATAAGACCAAGTCTGGACTATATTGTCAGA